GGTGTATATGAACGCTGTCTTTTCTCCTCTCCCAAGCAATTCCCAGTTAAGTGTCTGAGTCAGGCTTAGCTTCTGGTGACTGCATACTTGCCATCTGCAGTTTAACGTCTATATCAAAATTCCTCACCCCTAGATGATTCTGAACTTTTGGGGGGGAAATCAAATTGACCGATTGTAAGGTATGTTGGGAGAGTAGTAAAGCAGCAACTGAAGCCTCTACCAACCTATTTTATGAAAATATGGATCTTTTATTTAAAAGAATATTTCTATATGATGAAATCTTGTTTTCATGAATGTAAGTGGACTAAAACCATGATGAATTCCCAGTGGTAACTCTGATGAAGAACATCAGTCCTTGATTTGAACTAAGTATATTATGTTAAAGAACACTGATACTTTGTTTTTAATTATTGTGTTTCAGAGAATGTTTGCTACCTCAGATGTCTTCTAATAAGATTACATTCTGTGAATACTGCTTGTTTAGTGCAAAGTTTGAAAAATCTGGTTGAAGTCAAGTCTTTTTTTTCCATATTAGAGTCATTCATTTTGGACTTTTCTGTTGTGATTCATGTAATAATGGGCTCCTAGCTTTATTTCCCCTTGTGGAATTGCTCTTAAGTATAATTCAAATGGAAGGGCTGGTATAGAACAAAATTCAGGCTATTCTGTGCTAGTTAAACTAGTTAACTATTTCTTCCAGGCCCTGCCCTCAGTGCTGGTCTTAATCTTCAAGGCTTCTCTTTATTTTTTTTATCTCAAGGACCATATGTGCTTATTATTAAGATCATTTTGTAGACCATTTTGCTAATGCCATCTTTTGGCAAGTACAGACAGCAGTAGTCTAGATGAAGGATTTTAATAACAATCATTGTGAAACCTTAGAAACCACCAGTACAACTGGAAGCTGACTTTTTCCAGGAACTAAAAGATTTGTTTATTTAAGTAATCTTTTTTGGGAGGAAAAGTATTTGTGGTTATTTAATTTGATGTGCTGAATTGTTAAAAACTATATTTGTTACGATGGCTTCCAAATCAATTTAAAAATATAAATAGCAATAATAAAGAAATGCCAAAGCTCAGTGTATATAAAGTTAATCAATCTAGATTTGATAAGTAATCACATGGGAAACCACTTCAAAATCTCAGGTAAATTGCCTTGAGTTTCATGATAGACGAAATACGTAAAAGCTGTATTTTAGGTTTGTGTGATAAAGTTGATAAGATGCTGTTAAGCTTTGTATTATTTGTATAAAGTAAATTTCCAGCAGTTTTATTTCAAAAAAAATTTCGAAGATAACAGAGATTGTGAAAGATTGGTTTAATGTTGATTGTGATTTCTCATAACCTCAAAACTAGTATAATTTTGTAATAACCAAAATGGTTTTGTGTGCTTCATGGAGCTTTATGGCGCAGCTGGATCAGCAGAACAAGTGGAACTTATAATGAATTATTTGCAGTGTTTTTCCATAAAATTTATAGCTATTGCTTTTTAAATCTTCCTCCCTCCCCAAACAAAATCTAGAAAAGGTAACTTTCTTTTAATGCATAACTATTCACAATTCAATTTTTGTTATTCTTGTTACTGAAACAGCATGCTAAATTCACACAATAGTAAAAATTTAAAGCTTATAAAGCCTGAAATAATAAATAACAAAGGATATTTGCCTCGTTTTTGAAGATATATTAAGGTAAGCACTTGGGAAAGCAGAGGACAGCTGATGAGCCAAAGCTAAGAAAACTATCACTTTCATCCACACTATTATGTTTGAGAGGACTCAAAGAAGAGGCCTTTATTTCAGGGTTTGAAAAAGGAAATATTGAAACATTAAAACTAAAAACTGTAAAGGTTATCACAGTTTTCTTTTCTGATTTAAAATATAAATTTAATAAATAAAATGGCACTTGTGAGTTTAGGGTTAGGATTGATTATTAGCTCAGGTATTTTCAAAGGGCAGTAGCCCCTGATTTTAATTGTTCTAATTACTAATTACAAACTACAAACAGGAAAGAAGTGTAATTCAAGCAAACTGCTCCATTAAAAGAATACCACAAATAGATTTATTGCCCTCCATGTATAAATACATAAAAAGTAAGACATACAGTCCACAAAAATGTTTAAACATTTCTGTGAAAGATAGATGATTTACAATTTTGTTAACTAACCACTGCAAAACCATCGTCAAATATAAATCCAAAATGGAAATTTTTTTTGCATTCCATATAATAATATGTAGAAAAGGGAATGAAAATGCAGAAACATAGATTTGGATCCAAAGGAGCTATTCTGCTTTTGAGTCCAGTGGAGTTTCCATAAACTCTAGTGTTTGTATATATTCGGATGAGTATAGAGAGGGAGAATAAATATCATTTTCTTAGCTCACCAGGTAATTTCTAGCCATTCATGGGGAAGCTTAATTTTGTCATAAAATCAAATTAATGTTTGCAATAAAGCTCAAAGTGTACAATAAGAAGATAATACAAATTAAAAGTAATTTCTCTTTCATTTTTAAAATTATGGTTTTAGATTACTTTGATTCTGAAAATACCATGCTCTTACTATCTAATGAAACATAATTTCAAGTAATAGCTAGATTCTGTATTGCATGATTCCATTAATAATAACTGCCTTCTCCAAACCCAAAATGTGGTCTTCTCCATAGTAGATGAAAGGACTTGTCAGCAAAAAATTGCAAGGATAGTGAAATGAAATAGCTACTAATAGATCACAATCTGATGAGTAAGATTTCAAGTTATATATATTTACTTACGCTTAATATAATAAAAAATAGGCAAGACGTTTTGGGTAAGAGATATATCTATTTCAATTTTGAAATGTTTCTAGAGAAAGCTTAGGTAGGTTTTATGTTTAATATATGTAATAACATTTGTAAGTGAAAATTTTTCCTTTTAATTTTTGTAATTAGTCTACTTGATCAAGTATACCTTAAGATTGTGATTGTTTTTTCCTAAATAAACTTGAGTAACAAGAATAGGGATGGAAAATATTCTCAGAGAAACATGAATTAACATACTATGAATATTTGGGTTTCAAGTGCAATGTATAAGTATCTGAAGCATAGGAGGACAAAAATGTGTTATTGATGTTGTCTAAAACATTCAGTAAAAGTTGTTACTTTTTTTCCTAATCTTCATATATGCTAATATTTATTTATCTAAAAGTGCCTCTACAATCAACAGACCTGAAATTTAAGCAGGCAAGTTTGGTACTTCAATAAGGTAATATCTGTCCTTCAGCCAATATGTTATGCAGAGGAATTAAAATAAGTCTGCTGTATTGTAGACTCGAACCCTAGGCTGGGTGAGAGATTTAGATGAAATACACTAAAGTCATAATTGACAACTTGCCAAAATTCATTTGTGACCAACTAAAAAGGATCTCCACCCAAACGTATTTGCCTTACTTTTAACTGGGTGAGCATCTTAAATTTGTCTACCTATTTCACATCAGTACGACCATAATTAAACCCAACATTTCTGATGTTAAGTGAAACATTTGTTAAGTGAGTTTTGCTCCATTTTACGAATTTTCTTGCCACAATTGTTGAATGAATCACTGAAGTTGTTGAGTTAGTAACAGGGTTGTTAAGTGCATTATCTTTGTTTGTCAGAAGGTCACAGAAGGGGATCATCTGAATTTTGATCATGTGACCATGGGGATCCTACAATTGTCGTAAGTGTGAAAACCGGTCATAAGTCACTTTTTCAACCCCCATTATAACTTCAAACACTTACTAAATGAACAACGAGGATTATCTGTAATCTAAATCCTGTATGGAAAGCTTTAACATGAACTTAATTAAAGCTGATGGAATTCAAGTATTTCCTGTTCCTTCAACTTACCTCTTGCATACAGTAGAAAATATTTGAATGCTTCAACAGCGTTAAGTCTTTACCTTTTAATAATTGTACAGAAGTATATGATGCAATTTAAAAGCAAGTGAAACATTCCACTGTTTTTCTTAACAGTGAAAGGGTATGAAGCAGTAATTGAAAGCAGTGGTTAAAGTATTGGAGTGATGAGTTCCCACTTGACTTGGCTTCATTGGATGGTATA